GGCTGGAGACAAGAGCAGCCCCACACAGTAGCTACAACCACATCACATTTCCTTGGAGCTGCTGGCTCCCAGGGCCTGAACACTGGCTTGGCCTGTTCATTATGTGAATACGAAAGCTTTGCCTCCGATTCACTCTGCAATTGCAAGTGGAAGTTTTTCTCTTTCTAAAAATTCCTACTACTAATTACATGCTCTGAAGTTATTGATACTGAATTTGGGCAGGCTGAAAATGTTTGGTGAAGAGGAGTCTAGATCAGGGTACCTTTCCTCCTTCTCACTGTGATAGGTTACTGATTTCTTCTGGGCACATTATCTAGTCCAAATGTGTCGAGATGGTTCACCAACCCAGAAAAACAAGGACTCTGGAGAGGCAGGAATGCTTAGCATCCCTGGAAAATGGGATAAAATTAGGAGAATCATATGTTTGCCTGATTTCCCTGCTTCAATAAACAAAGTGCCTCTCCCATTTATTGTTTTCCTCATAAATTCAGAAAAAATAGCACTTCTCTCCACTGAGCTGGACTTCCTCATTTTGGCAGACATGGTAATTGAGGGTTTGGGATACTCAAAGCCTTTTTTTTTTAAATGAAAACCAAAAGAAATCCAGCTTTTACATATACTGTTACATCACAAAAGAGTGTTTTCCTAGAAAATGCGAACAGAAATAAAATTTGGTGGCACAAAAGGGGGAAGGAGAAAAACCATCACACATGAAATGTTTTTCTTCTGATTTTCAACTGCTCTGGTAAATTACTGAGTCACTAAGTGCACAAAGAACTGTGAGGAAATATTCTAATCAATTTCTTTTTTTAAAAAATTACATTTGCCGAGTTCTCATTCAGGAATCTTTCATTGTCATTTCCACAAGAGCTACACTGTTATTTTACTACCTAATCAGGTAAACTTAATATGGGTTTTACAGAGTGATCTTCATGGCTGTGCAGGACAGCCTTCTTCCTCTCTTTCATCACAATATTAAACAATCCTTCATCTCCTCTTTTTCCTGTATGGAATTACACAACTTCTCCCATCCAAGGAAGAACCTCATACTATTTGTTATTAAAAAAACCCCCATGCTATGTTTCCATTGAATATGCTTCAAATTTTTGGAAAGTGATCTACAAACATCTTCTCAAATTGTTACATTGTGAGAGATCTTCAGATGCCTAAGCACAATGCAAGTCGTAAGCATACAGCTCCATCTGCAAAGAAAGATTCAGCTGGCACAAAATCAAAATAAATAGAAATACTGATTGACATTCCCATTCTTCCATGATTGTGGTAAACTCAGAAAAGAAAAAACAGTTCATACTTGATATGATGATGTCCCCAGGAATTTCTTCCAAAAAAAGCCAAAACATGAAAGAAAATGCAGAAATTCCGCCTACAGCAACATTTTAAAAAAGTATACAGCTTTGGCCAGAGAGCTAACCTTTGTTGGAACTTACTGGCTTTTGTTGGTTTCTATCAACACTTGCAAACAAAAAATTAAATTTTTAAGACTGGAGAAAGTGCAAATGTTAGAGCCATTTGCCAGAATTTCTGCATTTTGAAAAGGTAAAAGAAAAAATAGAAAAAAAAAATATTTGAAAAGCTCTTCTACCCTACCATGTTGCTTATCATGTTTTTGTTATTTTTAGAGTAACCTCATAATGAGGATAATATTTTCCTGGACAGATAGTCACAGAATAGAGGAGCTCAACAAGCAAAAGTTTCCTTTATTAAATGATCAGATTTTCAAAAGTACACAGCTCCCATCAGAGCTCTTAAAACAGTCAGTATGAATTTCAAAAGTGTTCAGTAATAAGGAGGTATTTTCAAAACTCTCTGGGTAATTTAGACACATTAGTCTCATTGAAAGTTAATGAGCCATGTGCTGCTCAGGCTTTTGGGTGCTTGCAAAAAACACATTACAACTAGTAACCATGGTGCAAGTTTTGGGGATTTTAAAAATTTGATCTTATGCTGTTTACACTAAATTCTGCTCGTAGCTACAGATGTGTAGCTTCTCATGGTGTATTTATCTATATCCAGTGAAGCAATAGCTCCCCTTGCTCTGCTCTTTTCAAAGTCTGTCAACACCAAGCATCTGAATGCAGCTGTGCAAAGAGTTGCATATCCTGGCCTCTAGCCCCTAGGACAGTCCCAATCCTCCATGCAGCTAAACTTTCTGAAGCCCGCTGCTGACAACTTCTGCTGCATCTTGTACAGAAAGGAATAATCCACATCACTGAGATTTGTTGAGTAACCACAGTCACTGCACTAGGACGTTAACTGTGGTACCTAAACACTGACAGAGCAGGAGTCTTAGGTCTTTCCCTAGTTATCTAAGTATTCCACCATTCTAGATACTAGAAGAGTAAAAGCTGCAGAAAATATTTTCCTTTGTACCGTTCTTTCTGAGTTAATTTTTAGAAGGTTAAAAAGAAGATGTCACTTCAGGACTAATTAAGAAAAGATTAAATGGATTACTGAACAAAAAAGTAAGCAAGCAAAATTCATGATTTACCATGCCTGTGTGACACTTGGTGCTCCCTTAGCACTGAAAAACACATTAGGATGTCAGGGAAGAATCATTCAGCTTTGTTTCCCATTAAATCTGATCTCAGAGTACCTGATTCAATCAGAATTATCTTACAAGAGCATTTTAACAAAGTTGAAGAAGAGAAATATACCTCTGTATCTTCTATTATAAATATTTTTTAAAAAAAAGTAACCTAAAAATCAAAACAAAGCTGTAATTAAAAGTCACAACAGGTATTCTTTTCTTAAGGCTGAAAGGAATGTGGGGTCTGCTTTCATATGAATTGCTGACTTCACGCAGGTTCAGCACCACAGAGGGTTTGCCAGGAGCCAGTGGCAATAAGAGTTCATAGCCTAAAGGGAAGGAAAAGAGGTTCACCCCTCATGGCAAAGGTCAGATTTCTGCAGGCTTACAGCCTGTCCATATACATGAGTGTTCGTGGGACATCTTTGTCTAGTAAGGTCCCATGAGGATGACACAGGCTCCACAATGTCCCCTCTGCCTGGAGGATGGCCCTATAGGCACCCAGATCAGTTTAGGGTCATTTGACTTGTGTCGATTTGGTTCCTGTTGCTTTTACACTCAACCTGATGAACAATCATTGAAAACTTTGTGGGGATGTTGCTAAGACTGGAATTAAACATCTCTAGCACACAGAGAGATTGGATGTGTAAACAGGATATTAACAGTTGCTATTTTCACGGATATGGAGACATATCAAATATCCTCTGTTGATAACATACAACATGCTGTACACTTCATTTATATTTGCTTATCAGAATCACTATGTCAATGTCATAGAAACGTTTATATTAATGATTATATTAGTATTTGTCTATTTGTTCTGTAGATATCTTTTCAGAGAGTCATCATGTCCTTTGTTCAATTTTGGAACTGATGCACTTCATGCCCAAATATTTGGAATAACATATAGAAAACATCTGGATTTAATTATATTATAGTCCTCTTATGCAGACAATGGGAATTGAATTAAGGAATATTTTTAAACCCCCACAGAGATATAAAAGTATTAGCAGCTGCACCAGAACTTTACTGTTACAAAGTTTGAAAATGTTTTGTTTTACAGATCAACAGGCTGACACATCATAAATATCAATCATAATGTTTAAGATACATAAACATGGAAGAAAAATTAAAGCTTGCATTTCAAATACATGCAGATGAATTCACAGCATTTAAATGTAGAATCTATCATTTTGTTCAAAAAATGAAAACACACAGTCTATTGGCATAGAAAATATATGTTATACAGTGGTATTAAGCAGAGAACCACATAAGGGTTTATTACGTTGAACAGCCTGAACAAGATTTTATAGAATCTTGTTATATTGCCACCATATTGTACAAAGAGTAATTCAGCTAGAATAAATTAGCATTTTGCTTTTCATGCTTCCATTGCTTTGAAAACATTTGGGGATATAATATGAGCTTAGAGAGTCTGCCCCAAAGTATTAGATACAGGCTGGATTTTCTCTCTGAATATCTTCTGGTTCCAAATGCCACTTCTTTTCAAGTCAGTTTTGCAGTTAGTTTTCAATCTCCCAGTGGCAAAATCGCATTCAAAGGCTGTTAGCACAGTAGGGGGTCAGACTTTCTCTCTGAACGTAACTATATCACTCAACAGCAGACTCATGCAATAAGCGGTCTAATGTTTTCTTTTCCTTTTTCCCCCCTCCTCTGAGTGTCTCCCTGCATTCCGGGATACCAGTCACTGCACCAAGGTCCTGAGGCAACAGCCACACGGACTCCACTGCCATTCTAGCTTTCTTTATGGTGCAGAAAAAGCTAAGTCTACAGTTCACCTGCTGTCAAGATAATATATTCAACTGTTAGAGCTTCTAAAATATTCTAAAACCTTCAAAAGAACATTTTCTATGTGTCAGAAGACATGCAAAATGGACACAGCACAGTGCTAGTATTCCCAAGGTCACAGGTTCGATCCCTGTATGGGCTATTCACTGAAATGTGGAACTCCATGATCCTTCTGGGTCTCTTCCAGCTCAGAATATTCTATGATATGTGAAACTCTGGCAATCAATAACACAAAATATAATATTAATCTGATTTATCCTCTTCCCATGATTTCCCCTCAAAATGCCCTGAAAAACATTGTCTAAAAGCAGAATACCATCTGAAGATACTTTATCCACCAAGCAGGGCAGAGAGAGTTATTAAAGCCAGAAGAAAATAAAGATCCATGAAATGATGATCTGTTTAGAAACAAAATGTATCAGAACTGAAGCCCGCATTAACTGTCAGCACTAGGAAACACCGACTCTTGGTACCACATGGCCAGGCTGACCTTGGAAACATGCAGTCTGGAACTTTGAACTTACTCATAGTACCATCTTGAACTTATGGAATATGATATATGCCTTGCTGAGGGACAGCCTGGTTAAAATAAAGGGTGGGAGAATTGCTGGGCAAGGGGCTCGAATAAACAACGCTAACTCACCCGTTTTACGAAGTGGAAAATCATCCTTAGCATCCTGTGCTCCTGGTAAAGTATATTTGTATGGTGGCGAGGCCCCACTCAGGGGTGGAGAGCTTTGATCCAGTGAGGTATGGTGGGCAGCCCTGCAGCAGACACAGAGGTCACAAATTAGCTGTCACTGAGGTGACCAGCAGTAACTATCCACACATGTTGTACACGTCTCAGCTGTGTTTATGTTCTTGTTCGTATGTGTGCACAAACCACAGGCTCATGTAACCAATTTCACTCTTACAGTAAGTGATGGAACTCCTTGGGATTCCCAAAAGTGCATTTTTTGCACTCCCTACAGAAGTCACATAGGATAAGATTCATGTTGATCTACAGACAGGGTCTGTCTCTTGTTTGGGGAATTGACCATTTCAGGTGGTTGCTTTTTAATATGAATCAGCTGACACAGAGCAAAAGCCATTTAAGGCTTGTTTATCATGTACAAATAGATGTGTATTGATCAAGCCTTCTCTGTCAAAATTTGGGGGATTTTCAGGGCAGGAGGGCAGAAATATTGAATTGTTATCTCTTGGATACCCCCCTCCCCAAAATTCTTTAGCAGACAAGGTAATTGAAACCTTGACTTTAAGTACAATTTGTAAATTTTGTGAACACACCACTCTGCAGCACATAGCATTCATGTCAGCAGAGAAACTTCAAGCTGAAGAGTGCTTTCTGAGAATTGCTGGATGAAAGAAATATTGTGGGCAGAGATTTCTGAACAACTGTAGAAATTGCATCATGTGGCTCAGAAACAGGGGTTGGGTTTTTTGCTTTTTGTTTGTTGAAGAGGGGGTTTGGTTGATTTTTTTATTCTAGAGGGAGAGAGGGAAAGGAGAAAAAACTTTCAAACTTTGTGTTTATCTAAATATTATTTGACTTGGCCTTTTACAGAATCTCCTTGTCTTTCCAACACAGTGTGGTTAATCAATAATATGTCTCTGTCATGAGAGGAAGTACTACTTTCTGTAGTGTAGCAGAAGGCATCCTCTGCAGAGCTCCTCATACTCAGTCATATGAAGCTCAGATTACTAGTCCAGAAATCTTACATAGTCAAAAGACGTTTACACATTATTTGGAAGGAAAAAAATAATTAATTACTGCATCTCCACCAAACACAATGTAACTATATATTAAATCATTTTACCAAAATGCTCTGCTTAGCTCAGAATGCAAACTCCAAGGGCCAACCTTCAGCAATTCTTTTTAAAAAGAATAAGTAAAAGATGGAAATCTAGTGTATCATATGCATTTCTGTTTGTCCTATTGAAGGTCAATGCTGGCATGACATTGAAGTCTTTCAGAAACACAGATGGAGTTCATCTTGCTGGATTCATTTATGTGGGGAATAAAAACTGCAAAACTGTAAACTCTTAACATGTCAATAGACCATTTGAAGGACTCAACAGAATTACTTGCTACCATGGTCTATGCAGATTCTCGTCAAGGCCAAGTTATCATAAGAATATGCTGTTTGGATACTAAAATCCATGAGTCAGAAGGGTTAAATGACTACAGTCTTTCTCAAAACCCTTGTGAATTACTAACACCATTCAAGCAACTTCACTGGAAGCAAAGCAGCATCTCTTCAAGAGGAAATGTTTCGTGATTGATTCAAAATCCAAGTAATTCAAACACAAAGTTGTTCGAACATTTGGAAAAATGACAGGTATAGTTGTAAAATTTGTGATAGCAACATATATAGATGCTACAGATGAAGCAGCTGAAATAAAAACAATTATACAGATTTTTGAGAGAGTCTTGTTCTGTACAGCTCTCATCACTGAACACCAAATACTCCTCAGTTCAACAGAAATATAACGCTTCTGGCTTTTCTCTAATCTTTGAGTTGAACTTCTGCCTTGCTCTGGAGGCAGACTCTCAACACCCCTGCTGGAAAAGCATTCTGCCAAGTTTTAGCTGATACCTCAAGGAGACAAGGAAGCAGCTTAATACTGAACATACGTGTACCAGAGCTTGGGGTGACGGTTCATGGAATGATTCTTCCCATTTGCTGGAGAGTCTTTTGTAGCTGATTTACTTAACAGGAACTCTTGAAGTTTCTGCTTCACTTCTGTACTGGCCACTGCCCCTAAGAAACACAGAGCTAAATGCATCTTATCTTAACTTTAAAAAAAATTACCTTTTAAAAGAAAACAAACCCCAAAACAGAGTCTGTGTCTTATTGCTGGAAGTTTTGTAAACTATAAACTAGCTATGAGTAGAAAAAGTCAAAATGAGATAACATTTGGATTAAATGCTTGTCTGTGGAAGCCTGAAGCTGGCCATGACCCAAAAATCCAGTGAAGTCATAAGGAATATTTCAACAGTAGATGAGGCCATTTATCCAGGGCCAGATGTATCTAAAGAATTTAAATTATTTCCTGATAATTTCCAACAATCCAAATACAAAACCAACAATAGAACTAAAGACAGTAACAAAAGGTCACTTTGAGTTTTCAGTAATGAATTTTTTTGCTTTTAATAAAGTAGTAGTAGTAGTAACACAGCAAAATTGTCCTCTGAACACTGCCTTGGTTATAAACAGAACACTGCAGAAAGAGCCAGCAGTGAGGCTTTTAATTGGAGCCCCTCAAGAGCCTCTACGTGCGAAGTCTGGAAGACAGGAGACACTGCATTTTGAACTCTCTTGGTGGCCAGCTCAAAAGAGAACAAAAAGTAGAGCATGTCATTGTAAAGTTAAACTGCCAATTCAAGCCTGCAGCATGGGACATGATTCTTTACTCATAGCCAAAATAGTGTTCATTGAGGGGAAAAAAAAGTATGAAAAAAAAAAATATTTTGGTGTTCCACAATCAGTGACAAAAAAAGGGATGAAACCTCATTTCTTTCAAAGGTGCAGCACTATTTGATACTCTAAGTATTTGGTTACCCAGCCCTGACATACCACAGCTGAGATGCTGAGCATGTCCCTTGTGACCCATTGCCCACAAAATACCTCTACTACTGCTCTGCTTCATACCCTGGCTCCCCTGCCCACACCTCCCTTCCCTCCTCTACTCATTAAAAAGATAATCACCACCAACAAACTCTGGGGCTGGGGCTGGGCCTGGAGGGGTCACAAGTTTCTTGGCTGGCTGTTACATCCTGAACAGCCACCCAGCAAGCTCAAATTGAGAAGGGAACCATTGAGGTCACATCTCTGCTCTTCCTCTGGCAGGAGCACTAATAAAGCCTAACTGCTCATATGGAGGCTGATTTTTTTTTTGTACTACTTAGAGGAACCTTTCGTTCCTGCAGTTTCCACACCCTCACATTTCTAGGTCTGTAAGATGGAAATTTTTTTATGGGCTCATTGTTCTTCAAAGAACTAGAAGCACCATGGACACCTTAATTTCTAAAGCCTACAACGTGGTATACCTACAGCTCTTGAAGTGATATCTTTTTCCAACCAAGGAAAAAAAAGCTCTTTTCTTCTTCAGTCTTTTTCAGTTAATTCTTGTACTCATTTAGTAGGGCAAGTAACAGTGTCTGTTTCCGGCAGCTTCATTTTGAATAGCTTCACCCTGTACTTCAACCTGATTTTCCAACTGACCTCATTAAAGAGAATTATTTGTATCTGTCTCCCTCTAGTGAGCACCAAATCCTAACAAACTTTTATAGTTATTTTCTTTATAGCTGTATGTAAACTAGAGAAAACTCTTGGTTACGCCTCAAGAAATGTCATCAAGAACAAACATAAGACAGTTTGAAAAAGTCCTAGCACAATATTTAGAAGTTCATCCTAAGATATTCTTGAATATATAATTTTATTTTCAGTCTTGAAACAAATCTCAGCAACTAATTTAATTTTTTGTTGTTTTGTAGTGTTTTCTGTATTGAGAAATAAGTTCTTCAGAAAGTTCTCGTGTGAAGCTTTATGCTTTCAAATTTTCTCTTTTTTTTATACAAAGAGCTTGACTCTTGAGATGCATATCTACGAGTCTGTCAAACTGTGCTTTCCTGCAGTCTTCCAAGTCTGCACACAAACCAGAAATGTGTTTCTGTAGGTGCAGTGGGTGGCCCTGCCCTTCTCAAAGCACAGTCTTGACTTCTCGACCTGCGTATTTCACACAGGAATAGGCTTCCTTCAGGTTCCTGTTCATAGTTCATTTTGGCTGGGAGAATGCAAAGGGGAATAGATTCGTTTCTTATTAGGATTCATGGTACATTGGCTCTTACTTTCTCGTCCTCTTTCTTTGCCTCGGAGGGGAGGAAGCTGCTGCTCCCTGCGATGCCTCTCCAGTTCCTGCTCTTGTCTTTGCTGCTCCAGTTTCTGCTCTTTTTCAAGGAGTTCTTGCTGTTGTTTAATGGCTAGTAGTTCCTGTTGTAACTTGCACAGAACAAAAAGACATGAGAAAGTGCAGTTTGCAATGTTTTCTAGGTCAGTCCAGGTTAAAACAACCCCCTTGAGTAACTGAGGACCAGTGCTTGCTTTTATGCTTACACTTCTTTTCATCTTTTAACTGACTTTTAAGCGGCACAGTGCATTACTGGCTGTCACCAAATTGAACTCTAGTGTCAGGTAGCAGCCTGCTGCTCTGGTTTCACTTCTTTCTCTTTTGGCAAAGATGCCTGGAAACTTCAGACTGTTCATTGCCTGTGCATCACCCAACTCTGGTTGCTGTGCTCTGCAACATTTGTCAGCTCTGTCGAGTGGAAGCTTAGTGCAGCAGCACAATGGCAAGTAGATAAGAGGGAAAAAATGAAATGAAAGGCAAGATCATAAATTCCCAGTCAAAATCCATTATAGCAATCCTGCCATAGTTCATACAATCCTATAAATAATTTTCTTTTTGTATTATACAAGGCAGCTCAAAGAGTGAAAACACAACACTATCGGGGTCTGCCTCCATTTTACAAATGCAAAAATTATGCCCTTGCCTATCAATTTGATTTGGGGTCAAACTCAAACAGTAGTCCAAAAAAGAAGTCTTTTAATATACGGAAAAGAGTATATACCGAAAACCAGGTGTATTGAAGTTCAGCTGAAAATCCAGGTGGTGAAATAGGTAGTTCGATCTTTTGAGGATGTGGTGGCTTCATGAGCTCAATGATTCTCACAGTATTGCCTTGGTCTGCTGTGAGCAAGTCACTGCCAGCAGTTTTGCTTTAGAAGGCTTTTATCACCCCAATACCGAGAAAAGAGCACTCAAACACCATCTCTCAGTCACAGCAAACTATTCAGGCATGTTCCCTTTCTGTGTCTGCTTAAGCATATTGACTTTGCAGATAAAGTAAGGGATAAATGAAAAATGTTGCTACCTTAATGTGCTCCTGGAGCTGGGCCTGATGCTGGCGGGTCAGGTTTTCATGCTGCTTCTGGAACTCTGCAATGAGCAGCTGTTTCTGAATCTGCTGCTGCTGCTGGATCAGGAGCAGCTCCTGCTGTAGCTGCTTTTCGCGCATAATCGGGTCCACCATGGGAACCATCATCCTGAGATCCGTTCGCAAGTCTAATGGTGAGATCGGCTCCAGGCCCACAGGAACCTCCGACTTCACATCCACTGTGGGAAGAAAACAACAAAATGTAGACATATTAAATATAACAGGAGAAGGAGAATAGAGATCATTCCTACAGGGAAAAAGACCTGTTTCACTCAAAGACTGCTTCAATGTACTGACCTTTCAAAACATTTAATGCAATCTATGCTGTATGCAATCTTCAGCACTTCCTTTCCATTCTCTGTGAAAATACTCCCAAATTAATATTCTGCTAAACAGGTTAACACACGACCCAGGTTCTAAAACCATGTCATAGCCCAGTGGAGCAATATTTAGTGAAAATCTCCTAGGCACTATTGATGCTACACAATAAACACTCAGGGCACTTGCTCAGCATAAGATGAAAATGTTGCAGTTCACACTGCACTGCAAGAGATTTTGCAAAGCTAATGTGTAGATTTTTCTCAGAATACTGTTACACATGAAAAGCTACTCAGTGCTACATGGCTACTGCATATAAATATACCTGGCAAACACAGAGGAATAACACATAACATGGGGAAATAATTTGACACACAAAGTGAGAAGTTTTAATACAGCCTTTGTGAAAGTGACCAGTATGCATAGCACACTATATATGGCCACTAAGAATATTAATTACTTCGATTTGTTGTAGCAATGTTATAAATTCTTAATCCAGCATTAAAGTACTTGATGGAGGATCCTGTATTTTCTATCTCCTAATTTAATTCAAAGGGACTACAAGGCAGAAGAACAGAGTGATTTGATCACTTCCACTACAATATTTGTAAAACTGTGGTTTTCCCATCAAGTGAAGAGAGTGAGTGTCTTTAACTATTTCAAAAGAACAAAAGACTAACAAGCAGCATATCTACAGGAGGAAAATAAACAGCAGCAGAAGTTCTCTGCTAAAGCCCAGCAGTTCTGATTCCCTCCACAAGAGGACAGTGAAACACAAACACATTCACCCCAGTTCCCATTCCTCCTCTATCTTCACTGGAAAATAAGATTATTAACTGAAAACAAACATGCTGTCGGAAATGACTCGGGAACAAGATTTTAAGCATATTTTCTCCTTTTTCTCTGCTGCAGCTGTATTTGTTTCCAAGGAGAAATCCAAAATGAAATAGAAATATTCTAGTAAGCAGTGACAGCAAAATTGGAGCAGTAAAAGTTGAAACTGCAGCAAATGGAGAGGACTGAATTCTAACAGTATGATCATTAGTAAAATGATCTATTAGTAAAAGATTTTATAAAAATAAGAGAAAAGGCATAACATCTTTTCTACTGATTGCACTTTTATTCTCAAAATTCTGAAAACACACTTTTCTGGGCTCTTTTTTTTAAAATCCTAATAACTGTGATTGTAAACCTTGCAGCATAATTTGGCTTCTTAACCCACTATCCCAACAGAATGATTGTGTCTAAGTGCTTACTTTTGTTCTGAGACTAATCACTAAATTATAAAAAATCACCTTTAACTTACAAAAACTGCTCTTGATTATAAATAATTGCCACCGACCAAGAGAAACGGACAGGCAAACCCCCAGCCTTTCATCCCATTTATTCAGCAGCAATCCACATTCCATTTGTCTAGACTAAATATAGCCACGTTTATACAAGAAATCAATAGTGCTTGCAGAGAGCAGAGCAAAGACATGAATATTTCATCAAACCCGGATAGAAATGGCAATCAGCAAACTGACAGCAAACCGTGTAGGCTGACTGGCCCGCCAGATAAGTCTCCTGTACTTGGACAATGGCTCATTGCCTGCAAGTCACAATCTTATCATCAGCACTCTTCTATTTTTAACATTAATTGCATTGTAGGTGACAAAGGTTTATCAGGTTTAAAGGGGAGAGATGGATTTTCTTACATCTTCTGTGACAGGATAATAAGCCTTACTAGGAGCAGTAACTGGAGCTCAGCAAACCCTGCAGGGTCTGGTTCACAATAGTGTTTGCAAACTGAGCCCCGCAGGGTTTGCTTCACAATAGTGTTTGCAAACTGAACCCTGCAGCTTATTTTCCAGATACTAGCTGAAAATCAACCTCTGCAGATCTGCACGGTGATTCAGGCTGATTATACTTCCCATCTTGGACCAGCATCGCGTTTCTTCATTTTCAGAGAACGTAGCATGAGGGCAGGCCTTCAGATTTTTTTAACAATGGAAATTCCCTTTCACTATTAGTAAAATCTGCAACTGAAACCAGGCTGTTTGGTAAGCTACACATTTTCTAGAATTTTCACACACTCGAATAATAAATCTAGCACTGGAATATCTACTTCACCAAGCTGACCTTAACCTCATTCCTTAATGTGTGGGAAAAAAAGGTATTAGGGTAGTTCTAGACTTAAATCCATAGAAACCAATACATAATATTTAATATAATTTCAGTGCCAATGTTTACTGACAAATAAACACAAACATTTATTTTCTGTCATAAATATTGCTAACAGAAAGGTTGCCACCAATACTTCTAATAACTGCTGACATAGCAAATATTAACTTTTAGGGTTAATCACTGTCTTAAAACTGAACTAAGTAGTAGTCAACCTCATCAGTGAAATTATTTTAAACAAGTAACTGTAAGATCACCAATCAAACTGAATGGTTTGCTACTGTCTGTTTCACAGTCCTAATGCCACAGGCCCTTTACATTCTTACTCGTTACTAGCTGACAAGAAAGACACAAAGCTGTTCTGTGGAGCTACGTCAGCGTGGAAAATGTGTAATGGAGAAGAGAATTAGAATCAGTGTCTTTAAAAGCTTTGACTTTTAGCTGAAGCATCTTCCCTTCATCACCACACCACTGCAATTTTAAGTCTCTGGAGAGCAAAGGTGATGCAGAATGATTACTCTCATTGGGGCTTTTTATGTTTTTTAACCCCCTCTACACAAATATATATATATTCTACAGGTAAAAAATTAATGTCCTAATCAATGCCCTCAACTTCATACATTGCAAGGAGCCATGGGATACAGGATCTAAGCAACAGAGTTCATAAAAATACTAGACAAAGAAGGAAAGGGATTGATAATGAAAGCAAACATTAATCAGAGTTTGGTAAAGGCTAACTTCACTTATTCTTCAGTATTTTCATATCACCAATGGAGTAAAGCTGTAGCAGGCACGGTTCAGACCCTGTCCTCAACTCTCTCCACTGCAGTCCACAGCAGATCCTTCCCAACAGCTCTGCCAACTACATAGCAAGCCTGGGATTCCTCTCTAAGGTTAAATAAAGACAAACTCTCTGAGCTCAAGTCAGCTGCGGTGAATACAACAGTAGGCTGCAGAATATTAACTAAAAACGTTCCTGAAAGCTCTGTGATTCCAGGAAATATGCCAAAATTTGAGTAGAAAAATATTTAATTGTCAGTTACAACACATTGCAAAAGGCATATGTATTTATTTTTCCTATAAATACTCAATTGCCTTTATCTTGAAACATAACAACAAAAATAGTCTCAAAAGAGTGTCCATATCAATTATACTCCATAGATGGCACTTCCCACAGGGCTTTTGAAATTCTGTGGAAAGAAAATAAGACACTTGAAAAATGGCATGCTTGTTGAGTGATTTAGATGCTTGGAGCATGTGTAAAAAGAGGCAAAGGAGCTTGGTTTAACCCTCAGGCTTTGCATTTTGAAACCATTCCTTACAATGGAACACTGAAAAACTTTTAAGTCTTCCACTAAGAGATGGCATTTCAATCTCTGTTTCTGGTGACTGGTTTCAATTCCAAATCTTCCAAATCACAAATGCTAAAAGGAAACATCAGAAAATAAAACAGCCTGCTTTCTTACCACCATCTCCCAAGATTTGCAATATTCCTTTTTTTTGTTGGCAGTTACCTTTCTTGGCAAACATTTCTGCCACCTTTAAATCCAGGAATTGAAACAAGGAATGCTGTCATCAGCTGAACAGTCATCATTCCTGACTTGAGATGCAATCAAGAAGAATTCCAGTCAACTTGCTTATAGACCATCTTGTCTAGTACATTTATGATTCTTACATAAGAGGAACTGTGTGGAATGCTGGGACTGCAGGGATCCAAGTTAACCTTTTCCCAAAGGAAAGTCTCAGTTACACTGTTGGGCTGGGACAGTAAAAAAGGCTCGAGACAAGAACAGGGCACAAAGCTGGTGAGCCTCCTTCTCCTGCCTTGGTTGTTCAAGGCAGACTTATACAGAAGAAGCAGTTAAGGTTTATAAAGTAAACAAGGAAGACTACAGAAGTTGGAACACTAAAATAAAACTACATCTGACAAAAGACGACAAGCTTCTCCAACCAGCAGTATTTGGTAATAAAAACATATTCCTGAAAACACACAAAACCCAAGTAAAATCTAGAAGAACCAGTATGAAAAGAAATAGCCACACCTTACCAGAGAGAATCTTAGTGAAGTATTACAAATAAAAGAGAGTTCATACCAGTGCTACTCTTTTGAACTATGCTCTACAAAAAAGAGCCCAAAGTTATTGTTAACTTGTACAGTACTTTACATAGTTTTGATATGCTTTTCATAAAATGAAAAAAAAAAAAAACAGAATAATTTTGCACATTTTAGTGTAAAGGAAACTGGCTCCATTTGGTCTCTCCATATAAAGAAATTAAAAACACTTATTGCAGAATTAGCCATCAGTCAGTCATGACAACCAGAGCACTAAGAAATTTATAAGAAAGAGCCCTAAATGCTGAGAATAGTGGAAGATGCATCCCCTCACCAAAAAAGATAAATACTTTAAATTTACTCTACAATTTAAACCTAGAATTTCTTTAGCCAGACTTATGTGCCAACTCATTCAGGACTTGAAAAGCACAGATACCTGAAAAGCTATAACAGTGTCTTTGAAGCAGATTGAAAAAAATCTTTGAAAAGTCTGAAAAGATTAAATACTGTAGGAGGCTGAAAGTTTCAGGGATAAAGAACAGAGGGTAAGAGGGAAATTTTGGCAGCCATGTGAACCACAAAGTAACTGGCAGGAGATGGGACAGAGAAGGAATAGCCAGGCAATAAGACATGAGCAGAGGATGA